TTCGTTCAGGTTGGCTGATTTGACAAAGCCGCGGCATGCATATACTTCCTCCATCTTCATAAGACCGTCCGTCAGGCCACGCACCATATCCGCTGCAAAACCAAGGGTGCAGGTAGATTCTTGATCAAGTTTGGCCAATTTGGTGAATGCATTAGGTGATTTTGTATTATCGATCACTTTCTGGAAAGGTTGTGTGGCTTGTGCGAATGCTTGGAATAATGAAACCTTGGTGTTGCTAGAGGTATCTCGTTAGTATCCTCCGGCTTGTGTTTACTTGTTAAGGATCGGGTACAAACCTGGGAACTTCGCGATACTTGCTGTGGACTCTCCCGGCCTCAAACGAAGGATCAATCCATGTGATTGCACCCAGCTGGCGCTCCAACAAGTTTCCCATGACGGCAACTCCAGCTGGACCGGCTCCTACGACGACCGCCGCGCATTTCCGAGTAGCCATGTTGAGGGTTGCGATGGTTGGAATATGGGAGTAAGAATAGAAAAGCAAGAATAGGAACGATTGAAAAATGTAGAATGAAAAGTGTTGTAAACCGGCGTTTATTAAAGTAACTAAATAGATCACAACAGATATACCGACGGGGATTGTGACGGGGTTTAAAAAGGGGGCCAAGACCCAGGGAACGACATCATCGGCGATGGAATGCGTATACAGGTACGTAGTGTTTGGATCGCGAGTACCTTCATGCAGATAACGCAACCATCGTCCAGTCAGGACCTCGCTATAGAGCGGGAACCTTCATTATTCTCCAGGTAAAAGGTTTCCCCCAATATCCCATGACACATGTGTAGCTCTCGGACGATATGGGTCGGCGTTCTATCGACATGTATTGGCCAATGCATTCTGTCCCGCATGTGGGGATCTTCAAGCTAAAAATTGGCTGCTTCATATTTGGCGGTGGAAGGTTTAGACGGCGACTCATTCGGTGACTCATTCGGTGACTTTCAATCGGCGATTGATCCCCACTGTGCGCTTCCCGTCGGCACGATCCATGTTAGTATGTGAGGAGGTACTTATAGGATAAACACCATTTTCATGGCATAGGTAAAAATGTTGCAAGTCCACGGTTGGGCTGCATGATGACTGGCATTTGGGAAAAGGGGAAAAAAAAACCACGAAAGCGGTTCGAGGAGACCGTTGGCTTTATATTGTGTTGTTTTGGCGTCGATCAGACAGTCTTGGCAGAGATGGCGTGATTGATTTTGGGCTGCGAAACCAATCAACGCTTAGCAAGTACACAATGTACAATGTACAATCGTCCAGGGCTGTTGTACGGAGTATGGATTCTACTACTCCGTATAGATCTGAAAGATAAGATGGGGTATAAGACATTCTTCTAACAGGTCATTTAGTACTCGTATAAATCGAATCCCCAATACCAAACAAGATCCATATCTACAGGTCTCTAGTTGTTCTTGGTCCAACCGCTGTTACCTCATACAACCCAGTATATCCTCACACTCGCTCGATACACTTCATTTGACCAGCCAGGAAATCTTGCCCGGGCCCAAACGGCAATCGAATCGCCAACCTCCAACTCACGCACTCCATGACCATCAAGAGTAAGCCGGCCACGACCCAAATTCCTCTCAATCTCAAATGCTTCGGGCGAGTCCGCCTGGATATCGTCTCGATAGTCCCAAACAATTTTATTGTGCTGCATATCGCTCACGTGGGCTCCATTCGCTTGCAATTTGTTGTCACGGGGCAACAACAGCGCATCCGCCTCGGTATAGTGTTTTCGGACTTGTCCACGCTCATTGTCGAGAATCTCTTGCTCGATTCCATTGACATACATGTTCCTTGTATGGGCGTTATGAATCACTTCAACGTCAAACCAAGTCCATGAAAACTCATACATGTTGTCGCGGCGTCGCCCGCCACCTTGGTCGTGAGATGAGATATTGAAGACTATCTTGCGACAAGGGTGTGCTCCGCGATGGCGTAATGGGGTGGGACTCGGTTCATGCTCTAAGCTCTAACAGAAACAGATTATCAGCATGGGCTCATCAACTAACTTGAGAATAGATAGATATACATTCCGATCATAGCAGAGAGGAACTGTTTTTAGCAAAACTTGATCACAGTCTTTCTGAATGATCCGCTGAGTTTGCATTTTCTGCTCTATCGAAGGCCAATATTCCGCAGCATCGACGATCATATCGATGAGCTCTTCGGGAAGACCGCGTGGGAGCTTCCACTGCAACAAAGTCCGAACATCGAGTACATCCGCTAAGGTGGGATTGAACATTTGAGGTTCTGGATCTGCAATACACTCATCCGACCCATCAGAATCCTTGCCGTTCGTATTTGCAGAGGGTCGGGCACGGGACCGGCGCAGGTTTCCCGGGCGAGCTCCGAAAGGCAACATGATGGTAGTAAAGGGGTTTTTAGGTGCTGATTTGAAAAAAGGGTTGGTGACACCTGGACACGTATAGACGTCACCGTTGGACTTTGCAGTGAAGTTGATGATTCGGCTTAGGCAATGGCGCCACCACACATACAACCAGTCAAATACGATGCGTACGAACTTTCTTTTCGCCCTGCACTACCCGGCCTCGGGAGTTACTGCTTTAGCTTTTTTTTCTTGTCGAATCGTTCGTACACCTCACCCCCGCATACCATATGGACGAGGTATGAAAGTGGTTGACTTTGGACCGGTGGGGCTAGACTTTCCAAGGTTGCTGAAAGAATTTCAAAGTAGAGTTCCATTTAAAGAGAGTAAATAATCGATTGTTGGAAGAGAACATGTACATGTGATTGATCAGTCGATGGACTAGGTAGTCCCTAACACCCGGTTTTGGCGCAGCCTAGTCCTTCCAGGATCTCACTGAGGGGCCCAGATCACGTGACCATGACACCTAAACCTATCATATTACTTGATAAGGTATAGCTCCACTATGCTCCACCATGATTGCCGAATATTTACATCGTCCATGTCAAAGTGATCTCATCTACTCTGTAGACTCTAACAGGTTATGAGCCCGGGGAGCTCGTTATTGATCTGATCTAACGATCTGTCAATATCCTCGGTTTTCAATGTGCGACACGGTGCACAGGGGTCGTGTCTCGCCTAGCACGATCCATTTCAAGTTGACATTCACATCCCGCCAAGCCCCGGGAATTGCCTATTCAGGACATGTGAATACCTTCAAATTCAGTTTCAGGTCGATAGCTACGTAGCTAGGACCTGGCAAGGTGACAGGCAGAGTTTCAGCAGTATCTCCTACGTTGGGGACTGTGTCTACAAATTTCTGCCGGGCGTCGCCACCTTGGGTTTTATCAGATGGTATCTATTTGCTCTCTATCTACATAGATAGTGACCTCTTGTGCAGAGTTTTCATCACCTCTCGGCGCATCTCTACCATCTACCCTATCATCAGTTTTATCATAACTAGGGGATTTCTTACCTTCTTTCATCGACGTCATTGTCGCTGTTATTCTAGGTATATCCAGTTGCCTAGGAATCACTTTCGGGATCTATATCCCAACTTTGGTCCTTAACTAGGGAACTCTACGTCCCATCTAGTTATCGCTGACTACCCTCTAGGATTATTACTATCATATCTTGATTCTCACACCCTCTAAGAGAGCAATTGATGCTTTCATTCAAGAGCTTTCTAAGTATTTCAATCTTACAGATAAAGGTTCGGTGGCCGAGTATCTTGGGATATTGGGATAGAACTACTCCGCCGGGGACCTACTATTGCTCTCTCCTAACGGAAGTTTATTATCTCTCCCTTACGATAATATGGGATACAGAACTACAAGCTAGTTTCTACGCCGTTCAATGAGAAGGAACCATTGATTATTAATCCGTCTATAACACCAGCTATACCAACTGAATGTAAGGTCTACTAAGAGAAGGTTAATAAGGTGATCTGGTTAATAGTAGGCACCCGAGGTGACCTTGTATATGCTGCAATCCAGCTAGCAAGATATGCTAGAAACCCTAGACCCTAGTATAAACAAGCTCTCAAACGCTTGTTCTATTACCTAGTAGGCATAATTGATTTATGCATCTAGTTTAACAAAGATGATCCCTAGTAACTACCATTGTATAGTTACTGTGATATAGATCATATTGGACCCTATTCCATAAATGGATTGTCGATATCTGGATTTGTATTCTATCTAGTAAGTAGTCCTATCTCTTTACTAGGCCTCTAAAAAGCAAGCTTGTGTTGCTCTCTCGTCAACTATATCTAAGTACTTTGTATAAGCACTGCAGTTTAAGAAGCACCGTGGTTAATCTTGCTGCTTACTGAGCTTTATATGTATGATTCGAAGCATATATTGCTCGACAAGCCGGTTGTCATTTATGCCGACAATATAGGTGCTATTGCACTTACAAAAAATCCCGAATACTATATACGAACCAAGCATATCGCAGTGCGATACCACTTTTTATGATAAGAGGTTTTATCTAGTTCGGTTATATTCAAATACATTGCTACGTAACAGCAAGCAGCGGCAGCGAACGCTTTTCGTCGCTTCGTCGATCAACTAGGCCTACAACAACATGCAACGAAGTGATTTTTGAAGTGCATATGCACTGTGAATAGCTTCATTTTCGGAGGAAAGAAATGCGGGGGGTGCTTTTTTAAGCGATCTATATGCCCATGATCGTGGGGGGGTGTTGAGATCTCTCATTGGTCATATGATGTGTCCCTACATTTGTAGTAGTCTAGTTCCTACCTTTCCTCCTGTACAACTATCATCATACAACTACCCACAATACATTACAGTGTGCTGCTCCATGATCTCATCTACTCTGTAGACTCTAACACAAAGTTTATATGCAAATGCAGAGCCACGGACAAAAGCCTACCTAGGATTGGCCGACTTCGCTTACTCAGTCTAAAATATTAACCATCTAAAAGCATCATCTTGTTATCCTGAAACTCATCTTGCTCAACTCTTTCCCTCCGTCAGATCTTTCCCTTCTTCCCTCAGTCCTTCCCTCCTTCCCTTGGCCCTTCCCACCATGACAGCGTACTCATCAAGTTCTAGTGAGGTCGGAGAGAACTTTGTTCTCGCCCGCTATCTGAACAGTAGCGAGATTCCAACCACAGAAAACTCGTTCATCATGTCGGAAGTGCCTGATCCTGAGACCCCCAAGCCCATGAAATCCGCTCTGAAAGTGTTAATTACTCCTACCACCCCAGAACGTCAGCCAGTCAGCTTTGAAAATGTCACTCGTACAACATTACCCGGCTCAGCTAAGTCAGGTCAATCAACATCAAGTGTGACCTACAAATCTCGGTTGTACTGCAGTGAGCTTGAAGCAAGAGAGATACTTCAATCCCGTGATCCGCCAACTGAATACGAAACAATAATCAACATTCTGGAGGACCAGAAAAAAGGGCTGAAGAAACGAAGCCCCTCTCCTTCTACTCCTATTTGCTGAAGTCCATCGGTCTTCAATGCATCATGAACTCACAGTGGAATGAGGTGTCGATGTGGTTGCAGAATTCAATTGAGTTTGTCGTCAACAGAACTCAAACACAGGTGGAGTCTGATCTAAAGTGTGTGAATGATGACATACTCTTGCGGCAGCCTCCCGTTCAAGAATCAGAGGAGACCGACAGCCCTGTCCCTTCATGTGCGGCTTCTACTGGCCGTAAACGGCGCCGTTCGGATATTTGAGAATGATCAGGCTTGTCTTTTATACGTTTTCTTGTGTGTATTATTATGTGGGTTTTTTTCACGTGTTTCTTTCTATATGTTTATCCTCCTTTTCAGTGTTATAGCCAGATAGCATTTCTATGCATACCTAGGGATTGGGTAGTTGTTCAACTTTGACCCTACAATAACAAGTTGTAATACTCTAGTGGTCTATATATGTAAATCTAGAGATAGAAACAATCTTGTTGACAATGACGTCAATGTCTCAAGTCAACGTGTTGAGCTGCGCACCCGGGCGAGCTGCGCAACCCGGAACACATAGTAAATTCGATAAATTACAACTTGATATCTCAACAAAGGTGGCCTATTGGGGCTTTTTCCTTCCATGCTAATGCTTTTTGGGTGAGATATAGCCTCTCTAGGAAGTTTGGAAAATATTCATGACTTAATAATCGCGATATATATATTGCAACGTAATTTTCGGTAATTTTCGAAATAATGATCATATAGCCTTCTACTTTCTCCAAGATCTATATATAGTATTATTAAATCTTATCAACCGCTATCGACTCACAATCAAACCAAATCAGATGGTGGTTGTTAAGATATCAAGTTGTGACTTACCGCATTTACTGTGTTCCGGACTGCGCAGCTCGCCCGGCAAATACGTTACTTATACTATATTACTTGAATACCACGTCTGCGCGGTACATATATCTTCCAGGGCTGGAAATTAGTATGTGTAGATGCTCAAGATATGCATGTCTGGTCTCGAATTTTGTGTTCTTCATACAATATATTCAAATGCCTTTCCTAACGCCCATAAGAGATACAATATGGCTTCTTTTATTTTCAGCCCCGTCTACCACCCGCAGCTTTGTATGCGGCAGCCCGCTTGCTGCTTCTACTTTCTCGCTTGGCCTTCGAGCCACGGCTCTTTTGCTTCATCTTGATGGAGGATGATCCCTCGGTAGCGCGGTGACCCTCAAACACGAAAGAGTTGCCGGCAATGGTACTGTTGGCATCGGCCTTCACCTTAGCCGCACCCGCTCGGCCCAATAGTCTGTTGGCACGTCCTTGCATCGTCTTCTGGGCCTCGTCTACACGAGACTTCTTGGCCTCGGGACCAGAGGGTTCGCGTTTCTTAGCGACCTTGCGGGCCCGAGTGACACGCAGCTTGCGGGGTAGCATGGGCGGGAAGTTCTTTCCATTGAGCGGAAGAGACTCCTCAACACCATTGCCATCGTAGAACTGGACATAGGCAAATCCTTTGCCAACCCGAGTGGTGCTGTCACGAATCACGCGCACGAACTCGACGTTCTTCTTGATGGCCTTCTTGTCCTTACCTCCAGTGTGGGCGTTGAAAACCCGCCAGAGGCCCTCCTCAATATCGGCGGGAGCGCGAACCTTCTTCTTCTTGCCGGTTTTCTCGTCCTCCTCAGGGGTCTCGCTGTCAATGAAGGACAGGTTGCCGACAAAGACACAGCGCTTGTGGTCAATTTCTGCTGGGTGAGCAAGGCTATCAACTCGCAAGTGACGGTCTAAAACAATAGTGCCGTTCAAAGCGGCGGGAGCTTTGCGTGCGGCGAGGAGGGTGGTGTAGACAGCGTATGCGTTGGTGCTGGGGGTGGTCTCATCGAGAATCTCGCGCTTCGCGAAGGAAGCACGCTTGGGAATACCACCACCGCTGGCGAATGCAACAGAGCGGAAACGGATCGACTCGATCTTGTGTGGGCCGGTGGATTCAGGAAGCGTCGAGCAGAAAGAGGCCAGGTGCCTGAGAAGTGTCTTCTTGGCGGTCTTAGACCTGATAGCCTCGGTAGAGACGTTGCCTAGGAAGACAGTGCGGTTGGACTTCTCAATCTCGTCGGTCTTAGCGGAGCCAGTCAAGCTCTCGTGCATAGGCGTAGGAGCGGTCTCTTCCTCATCGCTGTCTTCTGATGCCGATGCTTTATCGGAGTCCTCGCCTTCCTCATCTTCGTCATCTTCGCTACCTTCTTGTTCGGTCTGCTTTTGGCGCTTAGCTTGCTCGGACTTCCTCTTTTCCTCGTCCTTCTCCTCCTCCTTTGCAATGCGACGCATATATGTCTCCTCGACTTCCTCGCCGGCACTGCCACGCTTGCGTTTCCGGTTCTGTGTGTCGGTAGGTTGTTCTTCTTCCTTTGCGGCCTCAGAATCACTTTCTTCGGCAGCGTCCTCCATTACTTCATCGCCTGATGCAGATGATTCTGCCTCTTCGGCAGCACCATCTTCGTCCTTTTTCGCCCGTTGGATGGGCTCAGCATATTTGATCACGGGGGCTTGCACAGGACCAGCCTATAAAATGTCAGTTTAGAATTCATTAATTGCACATCAAACAAACTTACACTTTGCGCAAAAAGCGAGGACAATGCCGGGTCCAGAGACGCACCACCGAAGGGAAGAGTGCCAGCGGACTTGCTGGTCTTCTCCTCCGTCTTGGATGAAGATTTTGAACTTTTGCCCATTTTGATGTGTTTGGTCTGTATTATAATCTAAAATTGAGTGACCAAGACGTGGCTTTGTTGCGATTGACACTTGCGCCGATGATAGCTCCGACTTTTTTTTTTTCCCTCCAGTTTCTGCTTATCGGGTCTTGGCGTGGAAAGCTGCTTATCACATGACTAATAGTACAATTTGAGTGTAGGTAGATGTTCCTGGTTACTATGTAAGGTACATCGCACATTGTATATAATAGATATGCATGAAAATCACCCATGCAGGCTCTCTGTATTACTTACTCTTCTTGTCTAGAAGTACTGCCCTCTCTCGATGTATTCCAGGTTGGGAGATTCTTGTGTAGGATTGGGTGGTAAGCTGTGGATGTATGATGCGTTTATACACCGTCTAACATTATGAGATCAATGGAGGTGTTCTTTGTTCTGTATTCATTCCACGTCCCTCTGGCATAAATGTGCAATATCAACATATCATTATACAAAATGGCCCATTTCATTCCAACTACGTCAGATACAGTCTCACGTGGTTTGCTTTTTTCTTCGGGCGGTGAGCCTTGCCCTCGCCGGAACGCAACGCGGCAGAATCAGCGGTCACTCGCTTCTGTTGCTGCACCCCATCAGAGCGATCTGCTACTTTTGTCTGCTGAAACCCCCTCTTTCGGCTCTGATTTCCCATCCTTGATCATTGGTTTGGTCTTTATTACGATTCCTTGCCACTTCTTCATGCCGTCAACCCCCCTGCGACTCGGTACCCTCGTCTTGTCCGCTTCTTAGCCATCCTCCCCTCGTCCTCCAGTGTCGGTCTGCGCAGGATTCGTCGGACCGAAAGCTTTTACGGGTTACAATAGTGGTGATACGCGTGGGCTTGGACTTAGGCCATAACTTGCGTTCCAGGAACGCGGTGGTTTTGGGAATCGTGCTCGGTCGCGAGCAGCTGTGCTCATAACCGGCGTCGCTCCCGGCGCATTGTTGAAACGGTACGTCGCTTAAGGTTCTACATCAACTCCAAAGTTTCATCTGGTCATTTTTCGTGAGAAGGGAGAGTCTCCGTGCCTTTTAGAACTACTGTGGTTGGTACACTTGCTTTGCGCGGCCTCCACTTTTCACGCTGAGTGATTGTTACCGACTCTGGGGCGTTCGATGATCAATCTCCGCACCGCCTTCTGGAGGCGCTGACTTATCTCTCACACCCACCAACCACTGTTTGCCCACCAACTCCGTCTCCCATTAGTTTTGCCGAGTTGACATGGCAATTGAGCTAATTCGATCCGTGGTTTCTCCAGATTCTCGATCGAAACACCATCTGGCGGATCGGTGACCCTCCTCTCTCCTCACGCCTGCGGCGAATCTCAACCTTGCTGCAAGCAATCAACAACCCAATACCCTCAACCGAACCCTTCTTGTCTTCACTCGCACTGTGTTGCGCCAGCTCTTTTAGCTGCATAATTGTCCCATGGAGGTAGCCGAGAGCAGAGAACAGGCCTCCGTTGGTCCCACAACGGGGGCAGAGTCCACATTCCCCAATGGCGAGCGGAACCCTTTTCTTGATGACCCGCTCATGGACGATGATGGACGCTCAAGTAGTTTGAGTGAGATCGACGATGTCTCGGACAACGAGCCGTCCGACTTCGAAGATCCGATCAAATCAGACAAGCCAATGGAGAATGATTCGGAGGCCGAAACCGAGCGCATCGAGGATTCTCCACACAACATCCGGAAACATGACATCGTGTTGAGTGCCGCTAGTGCCGGACCAAGTCCTAGCAAGCTTCATCAATCTACAACACTCGATGATGTCGACGATGAAGCACTTGTGGCGGACGATTCTCCTAGCAAACCGCGACGGTCTTCAAAAAACAACGGATTGACCGAGGATATTCCAGACCTGGGCGGCCTGGGTGATTCCGACCTCCCAGATAGTCTCAACAAGAAACGAAAACACGAAACTGTCGCCGAGTTGGGCGACGAAGAGCCAATGAAGAAACGCCGGAGCTCAATCAAGAGTGATTTGAGTGACCCAATCGACGATGATACCCCCCTCTCACCTGAGCCGCTCGGCAATCCCATGGATATCAATGATGATGGCATACTGGTTGATGAAGTTCCTGAGTCGGACCTACCAGCCCCGCCTTCCAAAGGCAAAAAGGGCAAAAAGGGTAAGCGGAAAGGAAGAAGGACCCAAGACGCCGATGAGGAGGCGGAAGCTGGGGTCGAGGCCACAATAGAGTATGTTGCTGATGAGATTCTTGGAGAAGACGAAGAGCCTACGGAACGAGGAGATGAGCCCGATGGCGCGGAGGCGGTTCTTCGAGCCGAAGAGTGTAAGTCTTCCCGTTCATGGACCCTTTGGGCACGACAGGCGCTGACGTCGTGTACAGCTGTGAAAAAGATGTCTGCTATGGATTCACTAGCGACACTGGAGAAAGAATTTGCAACGTTACGTGACAAGTAAGAAATCGCCTCATCTCTGACATGCTTCGCTGCTCACAATAATAGGATTTATGACGAACGGATATCCAAACTCAACCGCGAGTTGGAGATGCTTACCGGTCCGAACCCGACGCATCCCGAGTACTTGCGGCAGATCGAGTGTGTGCAACGTTACCGGGACGCCAAGATCAAATACGAACAAAACTTGTATCGATACCGCATGAAGTCACTCATGCACAAGGGCCTGGCCGAGCGAACACAGGCCCATAGCACATACTACCAGCGGATTCGGGATGCGCGCGAGCGGCATTCAAGTGCGGTTAGCAAGCAGTTCTATGCCATTCAGCATGATCGCTTCAAGACAGATGAGCTTAGCCCGCACCACATCATCGCATTCCCCACCCGTCGCTCGCAGCAAATCGCACATCAGACCGCATACAACCAGGAGGTTTCAATTATGGCCGGTGTCGCTAAGTATGTTGGCTTCCCGGCTGCCCCGTCCTTGATTGGTGCACGGCCCGCCGAACTGGATGACGATCTTGAAAAGATGGGGGTAAGTCATATTCATGTTCATAAATTTGGTCAGTTGCTGACCGCAGGGTATAGATTCCTATCGAATCTCGCGCTTCGGCACCACGGCACTCCTCAACAATACCCCCACGGACCACCATGTCCACCATGTCTTCTAACGCCTTTCGTTCGGCCGCTGAAGAAGCATTCCTAGAACAAACACCCTGGGCAAACCCACAACACCCCATCCATCAGCAGCAGCAACAGCAACAGAATTCGCAGCCACCCCGACAGCAAGGCCGTACATTTGAGCACCCGCAACCCTCATCATATGCAACGCCAGCCGCTCAAAAGCGGATGGTAGACATCAACGCACCCAATGGATCTGCATCTACCATTCCTGAGAATGCCTCTGCTGCCAACTCATCAGCCAACAACACACCTTACGGCATGGAGCACGATCCAAGGCATCAAACGCAAGGGCCCTTCCGCAACCCAGATTATGACGCCGATCATCGCAAATCTGGGTTCCGGTCACTAAGTTCATCTCCCTTGGATGTGCGGAAATCACAGCCGCATCTCCCCCATGCCCTCGAACACCGTTCTCCTGTTACCGAAGCCCCATCCCACAATCACATCTTCTCTCCGCCTTCTACCCGCCAAGGCTTGTTTCAGCCTTCAGCCGCTCTCCAGCGGGAGACCTCGCCATCCCTCCCGTCTAAACCTGTTGATGTGGTACATTACCGCCCCCATCAATCAGGAATTTCCACAGGGTCTGGTTCAAATCACTTGTCTAATCGATGATCGATTACCTTCGGCGATTCTTTCTGAAATGACTGGTGAACACCCCCCTTAATACCCCGAGAGTCACCTACCCTCCTCTTTCATGCATCTTGTGCACTTCTCTTTTCCTGTGATAAATCCTATGTTTTTCTACTCTCCAGCTCTTGCTCCAGCAGCAAATGTATCTTGACTGTCATTTTCGCCTGGGTTGCATGAATGGAATACCAATCCGGGGGTTTGTTGAGTTTCAATAGCGTTCACATGTGGGATACTCCCGTTGTCATTACTTCTAACTTTGGATTCGAAGACTTTATTTGAATGGAACGGAATTTGGTTAAAGCTATTATTGTCTTATCATCTGACGGGGTGTATGGGGTCTAGATTTGTTTCTTCGTGCCTACTGCCTGCGGTAGAGAAACATCTTTTACATTGGAGTTTCTTTTTCTTTCCTCCCTTCCTCTAGTGTTCTCTGGACTTTGTGGCGGTTTTGTGCTCATTAATGTACATACCACGCCTTTATTTGACATCATAAGGTCTTCAAGCCCTTTCTCTTCTTACTATTCCCTGTTAGATATTTGATCTATGATTGTACTCTTATTGCTTCAAAGGCCTTTAGAACCACTTCCACCCTTAGTTGGATGAGTATGTATCTTATCGGCTCAGATATTTCGGCAACTCCTTTGCCATGATTGGCAGATTCACTAAGAATCCATCTTCGACTGATCTTTATATAGCGGGGCTAAACCTTGGAACTATGGTGGCGCCACACCTTCCCTAGCCCTATCCAAAGTGGAGCTTATCTTGTCCTAAGATCACCTCACTGATTTGCTTAGCCTTACTTTGTAGTCGGGTCGATTTCACGTGATAATCTCGATGGATGTACCTTATAAGTGACTAGGTTCATGCTTGAAATAGTGGTCAAATCTAAGAGCTACCAGGAACTATTTCGCAATTAGTACGGAGTAGTAGCTTAGTGAACCCGGTTATTCCTCAGTACTAGTTAGACATATACAATTTACTGTAGTTATAGAAAAGTGGTTAGTTATTAGTTCATAAGAATAAAGCTATTCCTACCGTATAAATCATCGTATTCGCCTATTTCTTGGCGATGAAGCTATTGCGACCGACCAAATCTCTTGACATTAATATAAGGAGGCATTATACGCGGTTCATGACGGTTTTCGATGTTAGGGATTCGAAGAAACTGATGATTTGTAGGGTGGGAATAACTTCAATTTTGAGGAATATGGAGATTTCAAAGTCTCTCATAAAGTGTTCTTTTTTTTACCGCCTTTATATATAGTTAAAAAGACATCTAAAAAGACCAGCCAAAAATATATCTAAACACATAAAGTAAAAAATGTATGACAAGGCCGTATAACCAGCCAACTATTCTTATATATGGTATGGATAACTAGGAATAGCTTCAATTTACAGTATGCGGTATAGTATCGAAAGCGGTCTATGATTCAGCCATATCAAGGCACCATCTCTACAAAATCAGACACTTGACCTTTGGCCGCTCTGCCTCTTCGCACATGGAGCCCTACTTGACGTTCCCGTTACCGATCCCAAGGTTCTAGGGGCTTCTCCACTTCACTTCACAACAAGAACTGATGGAGGAGGCACGTTGAAGATTATTCTGGAACACGGAGCTGATCGAGATGCTTTGATGGCTGGGGATATTTCAATCCTCCACATATGTGCAGCGAAAAATTGGGTCGATGCTATACTCAATCTCCTAGACAAGGGTGCGTCAGTCAACGCTCAGGATTTATGCTTGCGTGAAACTCCTTTGCATAAAGCAGCTCGAAATCAGTGTATGGACGCCATTGAGACCTTGCAGTTGAGGGGCAGATTCAGCGCTAAGAATATTGACGGGTTGACTTTCGAGGATGTTTGAAGCTTGCCCGGTTGGATCCAGATGAGTGGAGTGTTGACCCGGCCTGGGCGACCTTTAATACTCACTGGTGATCATGCTTTGGTTGTCAGGGAGTGGCTATTGATATTGAGACGACGATAATGTAATTTGGGTACATCGTGATTCATTCTGTTTTATTTTATACTAGTTAGTTTCGCGGATGCATTGTTATTTAATTTGATGTGTAAACCTGCTCATGTATATTTATAGAAGCTTAAGTTTGCATGTTGTTGAGGGACTCCCAAAAATTGAAAATCGACACTTCATCCATCAGCGCATCAATCGCATCTTCGCCGATTGTTATTCCTGCCATAGGATCATCCGTCGAAACTTCCTGCAGTGGCGAGGACTCAGATTCCAACTCGGGGAGAACTGTTTGAGCCACATAGTTTGGGAAAATGTAACGAATGGCTCCGAGAAAGATACCTCGGAAGACTGAAGAGCAAGGGTGGGTGTGTTGCATCTGTTCTAAGACTATCATGCACACCTCAATTTTGTTGAGACCTAGACGTCGGGAAACGGGATCGGGGGATTTGCAGTTGAGGAGGTGGATGTGCATTGCTGGGACTAATAGCGGTGGTCTGGAGTTATTGTCAGAGGAGATATCATTTGCAGAATATTTGCGCACTCACGTCATAGGCGCCGAGAATGCCAACAATCTCTCGTGTGCCAGATTATCAAGGATGGCATTGGTCTGTAAGGCAGCCATATTGATCTGATTTCGGACGTGAGTTTGCCATGTGTCCTGGCGAGATGCGGGCAGCCCTTCCGGGGCCTTTGTGATGAAAGGACGGTAAAAAGTGACTATGAACGCTCTTTTGGCTGTTAGGATCAGTTATAGATGGATAGAGCGTCAAAACATACTGATAATGAAGCTGTAAATGATATAAGTAAAATGTTGCCAGTGGACTTTGTTCCGTCTGATTTTCGGGAAGTTGAAAGCGTAAAATCTTTTGCTCAAGGGCTTCAACCTGCTGGAAAGACCCACTGATTCCAAAGGGTTGGTAGCACAAGGTGAGAGTGTCTCCTAAAAGCTGGGTGAGTTGAATCATTGTCACCCAATAGTCTGCTAGCTGCGGTAGGTCGCTCGGGATATATGTTGCCGACATGGCTTCGGGTAATCCGACAAAATCACTCAACATATCATCTGGAGATGGTGGTACGGTGTTACAGTCATTCAGATTGATTCTCAGTGGACGCCCCATTGTGAGACTTAACCAACGGTCCCGAAAGAAACAGGTCCACCAAAGGCGGCGCCAAAGACGCTTTTGTGGTTCAGTGATCGGTGAATTTGCGCAGGCCCCAGCAGAGAAACGATGCAGACCCATTGTTTGGCAAAGGCTAATGGCAACACCAAGCCAAAACCACGGTTGGGTGTAGGTATCAGCTTCAGAATGGTAAAATCCTAAGAGAAGTGCTGATTGAAGGAGGACTGCGTGGTCTGTCTCACCCCCATTATGATGCAGGCACTAAGAACAGGTCGTTAGCCAAGCATGATCCGGGAGTATATCAATTTCTAGCTTGGTTACCTTTGCACGAGAGTACATGGATTCCTTCATCTCTTTCCTGGATGAAAAGCCCTCTGATTTGAAACTATCAGCCGAAAGATACTATATGTGCGTTAGCTAGATTGCAGTTCAACTCAGAGGAGATGGGATTCACGTTTGCAGCAGCAAAGAAAATGCTCCATAGTAATATCAGATTGTATGAGTGACCATCTCCGCTGGGATAGAGGTGTGGAAGTGTTGTAGCGTCAATCACCGGCATAATGGGATGCACATGATGAAAGTATGCCCGCAGAAGTTCATCGCAGGTTTCTTTTCGGGGCATATTGAAGACACCCTTATAATGCAAATACGCTTTATCCTCGGGGGATAACGAAACGGATGTTTTGGAAGTGAGTAGGATATATCTTGGTGTAGGTTGGCCTGGGGGCGAGCATATATCAAAGACGGCGCCAAACCCAGGCGAATCACCTGTAGTCTGGGATCAGCTTCAAGTAACAGCACTCGCACGAAAACTACTCACCAGTGTAGAATGGCGCTTGGCCGGTTTTTTTGCCTTTCCCGAGGACTTTGGTCGCGATTTCAACGCCAGTCTGTTCTTCATCCTGGCGCCGAGAATAATCCGGGGGATTAGAGACACTTCTCATACCAGCTATTCCAGAGCGATCTACATTATGCGAAGGTGGTACATTCGGAAATGCATTGAGTGGAAGTGAAGACTGTGGTATCAATCCATTGGAATCTGCGTGAGGCGGGCTGCTGATGACAGACGCAGTTCGACGTGTATGTCTCTCGCGTATGCTATATATGTTAGCGATAAGCTTCTATTAATCCGGAAGAAAGGCTCACGTTTGGGTTTTTGTCGGTGGAACGGTACATTCTCTGGCATCTTGCGTACAACCTATACACGGGATACCGGTCACCGTCACGCTACAGCGGACTTTACGCTGACGGCAATTTTGACATGCAGCCGCCGATCGATAGCGGCGTGTAGACATGATAAGTCTGGTTGCCAAGTATTAATGTTTCGGTCTGCCGAGAAGGTCGGGTCGCCGAGTGTAGTCAAGTATTATAACCTTGGTGGTCATCCGAGGTAGCTAGCCGAGGCGCGGCACTCCCGACAGTTCCGAGATAATATTCTTCTAAGGAATATGACTAGAATTTAAGGGGGAAAAAGGAGAAAAATGCTACATTCATCATGAAAGGGATATAACGACGGAGAAGAAAGGAAGATAGAAGATGAGAGAGATCTGTCTACGGTGACTTGTCACGCAGGATGCCTGAGGGATCTCTCTGGCCGGAGGCATCCGAAAATTTTTAGTCCTGAGTAAAACGTATATTTTTAAAAATAATCTTCAAACAATATATATCCATTTCAAATAAAGAAAAAAAGTCTTTATAGTACTTCAGGGCTACAGGAGAGTAATTCCAGTAAATGCGCGGTGGTCATCGAAGAGAACCTTCTCCTTGTGGTTACCATCCAGGTCGCACCGGTAGATGGAACCTCCCAGATCCGTGAGATAGACATGAGAATTGATGGAATCCAACTTCAGACCAATCGCCTCATTTAAACCCCTGGTGAGGATCTCGTATCCTCTCAGGGAACTGGTTGATAGAGGAAGGCCGTCTTCACCCAATCGAGCTCTATTCAGCGAGTTGCCCCACGGTATTTCACCACGATCCGTCCAGTAAAGTGTGCGAGAAGCTTCTTCTATCTCAAGATCAATTGGCTCAGGAAGGTCAGCCAGAACGCATTGGGCATCACCTCGAGCATCTGCTGACTGACCCTCAGGCGTTGTAATATTGGCGCACATGATTCGACCTTCACCACCCTTCGAGGGTCCTTTCTGGGTCCAATAGAATTTACCTTGACTTGGGCTCACGGCAACTCCCACACACCAGTTGGAGACACGTTCCGCTGGGGTCTGATCACGGCCAGTGTTGTCAATCAAAACCTCCAGATCGGAGCCGTCGAAGGCACAACGGTAGACTCGGCATCCTTCGCGGTCACAAAAGTACACGGTTTGCGCCACGGGATCAATAGCCAGTTGCTTTGGTGTATTTATATTTCCAGGGACAACAAGTGTTTTGATGTCGGTTCCATCCACGTTGGCGGAGTAAACGGCCCCATCAGGCTTTCCTGGAACGCCCATGCAAGTCCAGAAGATGCGGCCAGAGGTCGAATCCACAGCGAGTCCATCCGGCAATGATTGGTCTTTAAGAATCGATTTCTGTACCTTACCGTCTGCGGAAACCCGGAGGATCTCTCCTGATGTCATGCTGGGTGTGGCGGCTGACAGTCCGAGGTCCAACACCAAAATTTCGGGTTTCTTCGAATCGACCTTGACAGGAGTTGGGTCGCTAGCAGGATATAGACCACCCTTTGAGCATTTTGTTCCCAGTTTTCCATGGTCCAGATATTTGCTCTTCAGAAAGTTGACGGTCTTCTCGGGAGAGAGTCCACGTTCCTCCACGTAATGGCCTTCAATGAAGGCAACGGTGTCTAGGCCAACATCTAGGCAATGTTCTGTCAGCGAACGAATTCTCATAGAATCAGGGAAGGCGAGTAAGGATCTTACTGTCCATTGTCTGGCAGGGAAGAGTTCCTCCTTTGACAAACAGTTCAAGCCACATCGAATCAATTTCCTCGGGAACTGAAACACCCTCAGCCAGGATGGTCAGGGCCTCCCGCTTCACAGCAGCCCACAACCGATTGAAGATGAACCCAGTGGACTCCTTTCTTGCGACATACGGATTTGTTGCAGCCTCCTTGCAGCGCTCAACCATAAAAGGGAATATCTCCGGGGAAGTGTATCCATCGGTCATAAGCTCCACAATCATACACGCCGGCGGCATATAATAGTGCATGTTCAGAGCACGGGTCTTAGTGGAATCCGAGACCTGACTTATCATCTCGGAAGTCTTGTATGAGGATGAATTGGAGGCTAGGATGCAGTCCTCCGGAGTAAGGGCCTCCAGTTCAACGAAAGTGGCGATCTTGAGGTCGAGCTTCTCGGGAACAGCTTCGATGACAAGCCAGGCATTTTCAACAGCTTGTTTCATATCTTCGACGGCTTCGAACGATCCGGGGACTTGGTTGGTTTTGGCGGAATATGATTGAACATTTTCTTCAATGTATGCAATTCCGTCTGCTCGCTGTTGCGCACTGGGGTCTCGAATCTTAACGTCGAAGCCGGCTGAAGCCCAGATACATCCTAATGCCAGAATTTTGTCAAAACGTTGATCTTTTGAATAACACGATGGACGGGTTACAGACCTACTCGGCGACCGAGTACACCTGCGCCAAGGATGGCAACAGGGCGGCTGCGGTAGTTTCGCGGAGGTTCCCAGTGCAATGACATGCTATAAAGCAAGTGGTTTGTAAGTTAATTGTATCAGTCTATTTGGTGGTATATTGGTTCGATCACAGTGGCGGGGGGTTCCTTTTATGTCCCGTTGTCCCACTGCCATTGTCATTGCTATTCCGTACAGCCCTCGGAAGTCCGTCATCCACAACTCAACCCAGAAGAGAGATCAAGGCAGTTCGTCGGCCCCATCAACAAAGATAATACTGAGGATCCTCTATCCTGGTTCGTTCCTCGGAAACCCCGTCCCGGACCGTGGGAGCGAGACAGTTTTCTTTGTCAAACGGGTCATTTGGATTCGTGGCAAATTCAATGATTTGAGCAGATGTGGAACTACAGTTTGGAGGCGCCATTAAGGCACCAGGGGGAAAATGCTTGATCTGGACCAGACGATCTCCCGAGGTTTTCTTTGGGCCCATTACAATATGGATACTATGGAGCTCAATGCCGAGGAAGTGTACCTCGGAAATTATATGCCCCTGTTTGGAATTGAATGCTAATCAGAAAATCTTTATAGGATAGAAAAGATAAATAGCGCATTTAGTCGTTACAATTATAAAGCATTTGTCTCAAGTTCAGTGTCGCGTTAAAAAAAAACACACCGTCATTGATATTGCATATCCATACACAATGGCATCTTTGAAAGAATTCGATGCGAGCGAAGTGGCAGCTCACAAGACGAAAAACGATCTTTTTGTCATCATTCATGGAAAAGGTAATCTTTCCCTTCCCAAACTGTCTTGTTCAATCTTCTAACATGCCCAGTATACGATATCACAGACTATGTGCGAGACCATCCCGGCGGTGCGGATGTGTTGCTAGACGTCGCCGGCACAGATGCAACAGCTGCATATGAGGATGTCGGTCACTCAGAGGATGCAAGCGAGATTTTGGAGACATACTTAATCGGTACTGTCAAGGATGCACACGAATTTGTTCAACCCAAGGTCGTTCGCGTAATCAAGCAAACCTCTTCCGGTAAAGAGACACCCAAAAGGTCATCCATGGGCCTCAAAGCTGCGACTACAATTACTGCCACGCTTGCTGCTGCTGCGCTGGTTTACATCTCTTCCAAGAACCAGCGAGCCTTGACCCACTTCTTCGCAAAACACTCCCCGGCCTCCCTACAAATATCAGAGGCTTGCATTCCATTCACAAGCCTTCTGCAGGGTGGATTTTTGAGTGGAGTCACTGCTGCCACTCTGGTATGCGGGTTGATTGGCGGTGCCATAGGAGTCAAACTCTCAAAGTTCACCGAAGTCGAGTCGGGTTTCACAAAGTACCGTCCCTACAAGAAAGCCTCGACATTGAAGAAGCAGGACCCGCATCTTGTGAAGGGCTTCCTAGAACCCAAGAACTACAAAAAGCTTCCTCTCGTTGAGAAGGTTCAGCTATCGCCCAATGTGTACCGCTTTGTCTTTCAACTGCCCAATCCAAAGGGCATAATTGGACTCCCAATCGGACAGCATGTTGCTATCAAAGCTATGGTCAACGGTTCCTCTGTCTCAAGGTCCTATACCCCGACATCCAATAACCTGGATCTTGGAAAACTGGAGCTGGTCATCAAATGCTACCCAGATGGTATTCTCACTGGACAGTACCTAGAGTCTTTGGAAGTTGGCGACAAAGTGGAATTCCGAGGCCCGAAAGGCGGGATGAAATATCACAGCGGCCTTTGCAAGAAAATTGGTATGATCGCCGGTGGAACCGGAATCACCCCGATGTACCAACTTATTCGGGCGATTTGCGAGGATGACCGGGATACGACCGAAATTAGCCTCATCTACGCCAACCGAAACGAAGAAGATATTCTTCTCCGTCGTGAATTGGAAGCTTTTGCACGAGGATATCCCAAGAACTTCAAGCTCTGGTATATGCTTGATCATCCTTCTGACAATTGGGCTTATGGAAAGGGATATGTTACACCAGATGTCATGGCTGCAAGATTGCCTGGGCCAGCATCTAATACAAAGATCATGCTTTGTGGACCACCAGGCATGGTGAATGCTTCGAAGAAGGCCTTGGTAGCTGCAGGCTTTGAAGCTCCTGGCGCTGTCGGAAAGATGAGTGACCAGATCTTCTGCTTCTAGAGTGTTTCCGATTATATATTCTCTACTTGTTCCATGTTTATAGATTTTGCTGTATATTAGAGCTGTTTGTGAAGGCAATGCTCTTCTATTTTGATGTATTTGAGAAATGTTTCATCTCAAGATATATATAACTCGGCTGCTTGTGTTTTACTATTTGTGGCGTTGGATTATTTCGATTATCCCAGTCCCTAGCTCCCAGGTTCTTCTCCATCTATATATTCAAGCTTCATGTCTCTTGCCTCTTGTTATACCAAAAATGTCCTCTACAAGGGTTATGCTTTTTACCGCCTTATATAGTGAGTCAATAAGCCTGATCTCTCTACTTATTCTATTATTCACTATTTAATACCGATAAGACAAAATCTATAAAAAGAGCACCCAAAAGGACATCGGAGTGATATTTAATTGTAACGTCCTTTGCGTCATCTCCAACCAAATAAATCAGATTATTAAAGTCCTGTGTCGTTAATGATACACGCTGGATATGCGGCCAACTATTTTCTGACAATTAATACGCCAATGGGAGGGGATGTGTTCAAATCCTCCTGAATTCGAAAATTGTACTTAGATCCACAGTGGAGATCTATGTAGATACGTATATTGTATATTGGACATAATTTCCGAAGATGAATAATGCCTCGTCTACTGAAAATCCTGCTATCTTGAAGATCGAAGGAACATGGCACTTCCGAGGTATATCTAAGCCAATCGGAAAAGTGCATGTTGACCCACAACCCGAGGAAACGGAATCCCGAACTATGAAACGGGATCTTTGTTGATGACCATTGTGCAGACGATATATAAGTCTGAATTCCTGGATTGAACTGGTTAGAATCACAAAAACTTAATTACAATGCCTGCAAAGCAATTCTATCTCCTTGGAGAGCCAGTCTCCTCCGCCAGGAACATCGATGTCGACCCCAAAAGTGATTTGGGTGGACTCAAGGACTTGATTGCAGCTCACTTCGCAATCGTCGAGTCAAGTGGTATGTTTGAAGCAGTTTCTCCAATCCTGCATATTGATGGTTGACTTTGCGTGTGATAGGTATCGATTTCCAAGCTCAAGACCTCCACCTGAACGAGATTACCGAAATCACTTCGGCCGGCACTCCCATCGCTATCACCATCGATGGGAACGCAGTCCGTGATCCTCCAGGCCCGAAGGGTCTCCCCTACGTCGGAAATTTCTTCGAAGTCTACCCAGACCACCTTGGCAACCACCAGCGTCTCTTCGAACAATACGGACCGATCATTAAGACAACCAATCTAGGCCGCACAACTTATCAAACAAATGACCCAGCTATCTCCGCGATCGTCTTTGCGGAGTCTGACTTTTTCACAAAAAAGATCAACGAGGCCCATCCACTCTATCCTCTGAAACAGCCGGAGGCTGGTGTTTCCTAGGAGATACCGATACTCCTGAGTGGAAGGCTGCCCACAAGTTTTTGCCACCAGCTCTCGGCCCTAAGGCTGTTCGTCACTATGCGCCGACAATGCAGAAGACAGTTGAGGATTCCTTCATGGTCTTTGATGAATTTGATGAGCAGGGTGAAGCCTGGAATGTTTATCAGTATATGCTGAAGCTCGGATCTCAAGCAGTTGGCAAGCTCACGCTTGGCTTAGATTTCCAACATTTTTCGAGTCGGGACGCACAGATGCACGAGATGGTGCATTTGATTGCAGGAGTTCTTTCTCTGAATAAGAAAGTCTCATCCAAAGGAGATTGGTATGGTAAACTGCCATTCGGTGATCCAAAGCGGCTCAGAGACATTAAAGCCAGAGTTGAACATATCGTGGGGGAAACAATTCAACAAGCTGCATGTGGTGGTATTGAAGATCTACCGCTGCAGGATGCAGCGCTGAAGGCATCTAATATGATCGGTAAGTGCCTACCATATACCACCAAATCTGCCTCTCATACCTGTGGACGCTAATAAACCGTTTTAGACTACGCCATCCGCGCAACCGACAACAAAGGCGAGAAACTACCCGAATCAAGCTTGATTTGGGCTCTCGTCGTCGCAACCGGAGCCGGATTTACAACCACCAGTTCCCTTCTATCTTGGCTCATCTACGGTCTTGTCACCTACCCAGGTATGCAAGAAAGGCTACTCCAAGAGCTCATCGACAACGACATCGACGAGCACACTGTGATCACGGCGGATGTCACCGACCGACTAGATTTCCTTGATAAATACATCAAGGAGACCCAGCGTCGCCACAACCCAAGTTTCCAACCGGGACGAACCGCCAAGGTTGACCTCGTGCTTCCGGGAGGGTATAAGATCCCTAAAGACTCAGTTATTCTTCCGGCGCTACACCACATTCACAACAACCCCGATCTGTGGGATAATCCCAATCAGTTTAACCCTGACCGCTGGGACACCGATGAGGTCAAAGGCAGACATAAGGCTGCGTATATCCCATTCGCCATGGGCCCGCGCATGTGCATTGGGTTCAACTTTGCCTTGCAGGAAATCAAGGTTTTTATTCCGAAACTCATCTTCCGGTATAAGTTCATTCGGGAGGGCAATGAGCCCATCGAGTATGATCCCATGTTCCAGTTGATTCGGCCTAATAACCTCTATGTTCGCGCGGAGAGGAGGGTGAAGTGGCCAGCGAAGACGGAGACCTTGGCAACAGGGAATGTTTGAGAGGATTCCAGCATGGATGACACATGTTTAAGTAACAGGTTTAGACAACAACAATTGTTTTGAGAATAGAGAAATGTATATTATTTCGTTTATAACAAAGAACTTCCTAGCGAGCAAACTAGAGGCTTTTCCTAGGGTTTAAAAGAGCGCTTTCATGGGAATTTACTGAATGCTATACAGGTGGTAGATGGTCTTTGCAAGATCAAGCCCAGGCGATGAATATGTACAGTACCTACAATTGAATAAATCTAAATGCCTTGATGAAACATATCGAGGATGGAACGGATATACTACATTACATCCTCTCAAAAAGACAAATTGAGCGAGCTGGAGGCACCCGTGAATGTCACATGTTCAAATATTAAACCCATAAGATGAACACACTAGAGAAGAGGTATAATGAAATGGGGGTTGAAAGGTGCCAAACCGAAGACATGTGCAATAAAAAAAAATAATGCCTGAAGAATGAAGCTGATAATCCCCAGCATTCAAAATTGCGGGAAATTGAAGGATCTCATCTCATCTTATCATCGTCTTTCCATCGAGCAGGACAAGTATCAAGATTATGGCTCTGAAGTAGTAGGCTTTGCCTCTGATGATGCCGGTGCATCATTTGCAGCTGTTTCCAGAGCTGTACTTTGAGGGCGCCACTTGGTGAGGACTTTGCCTGCAGCAGGTCGGGATTCCTCGTCTGTTCGTCGCATGTTAGATATATAACGCCAGTGGACATTAAGGGAAGAGGATACTTACAAGTTTGGTAGACATCTTCTACTGTGTTCAAGCACATCTCTCGTGCTGGAGGTCGGAACATAATAAGGTACCTAAAAGAAAGTCAGTAAGGGGGCTCTTGGTAGTGAAAAGAACGGACCATGACATACATCAATGATTGAACGCAAAGGTTCACACGTTCCGGATCTTTGGCCAAGCTGGCCACCCGCTGAGTGATGGGAATCGTAATCTCTGGGACTTCACTGAGAAATCGGACCAGCACCTTGATATCTCGAGAGTCCAAATAAGCCAGGAAGCCATCCAAAATTCGGGTAGCCCAGGTATCGTAATTAAGAGGTACAGTCGGTTCTAAGTCTTCCTCGGTGTTATCACGCTGATTGGCAGCGCTCTTCATTTGAATCCGGTCATTATACCACTCTTCATTGAGCCAGATAATGGCAATGTTAAGTCGTCCTCGGAAATCTTCCAAGATGAAGCGATAGAGGGTCTCGCGAATCGAGTCAGCAATAGTTGTTTGCCTACGTACGGCGTCTCCCTTGGTTTGCTGGTCATTTTCGAGACCGGCAGGAGCCCGTGTAGCTAACCGAGCAAGAAGAACAGACCATGCGTCCCGGTCAAATGTACTGCCTGCTAACCTGGCGAATCCGAGCTTTTGTTGGGGTTGGCCCTTGGCAGACGCAGGTGATGTTTCGGCTGCGTTCAACATCCCGAACACGCGGGCAACAGCACTCCGTCCGATTTCCCCGGCCTCTTCTTCGCTCAAGGGAGGTGGTTGCGGTAGGACAAAAGGACCCAAAGAGACTAGTTCTGGTTGTAGATCTGCGACCTCCGCCGCAACAGCACTGGCCTCTTCTGAAACAACAGATGCTATGTCCATGGGCTGGTATTCGGGCTCATAGTCATCATCCTCATCTTGGGCAGCTGCTCTCTGTTGCTGCTGCCGTTGCAAGGTTTGATCTTTGGTGATTGTCTGATATCGAGTACGAACGGCCTATGGTCATGTCAGCAGAGGACAAAGCTTCACTCTCATAATAGCACTTACGTCAACAGCTTGTGCAAGTGTTGAGTCATGTACCTGCGACAAGAGAGGTACAACAATCTTGAGGACTAGATCAATTGGCAACTGTTTTACGTCGAAGGAGGACAGCCCAATGTCCTCGGTCAAGGTGAAGAGGCGGTCAAAGCTTGCAGGTCCTGGTGCCATTGGAGGAATCTTAAGCATCGGAGGAGGCAAAGCATTAAGGCGTGCCCGCTTAGCGTTGTCCAGCCCGTCGGTAGGTTCATTTGGCAATCCTCGTTTCCGCGAAGCTTCATCGGTGGCCTCAAGTCGTGATTGCATTAGACGTTCAATGTGCATTTGCATCCGACCCGCCAGGGGGTGGTTCGGGTTCCTATGAGAGTTAGGTCAAACCACATATTTTGCAACCAGGATGACAACATACTTTTTCAAGATATTGATCAGCAGAGCTCGAGCAGTGCGCTCCATGGACTTGACGCTGACGCGAATTGTCGGAGTAAATGGCGGGCGGACGTGCTTCGTGGGATAAAACTCCAAAACTGCGTTAATGATCTTGTTTGCTACAGACTGGCGTGTGCGGATGAGAGGTGCGAGGCAGTTTAAGGTTGCGTTCACAAGAAGAGCATCACTGGCTTGTGTTAGCGTCACCCGAACTTGTAAAATAAGTTGTTTCATCCTCGTACCTAGTCTCTTCTTGGAAAACGCCGAGGAGTCGATCGAGGAGACCTGAGGATTCCGCTTCCAGGTTTGGTATTGACAGAACAGCATGGTTTCGGGGAACAACTGCCAAAGACGTCTCATTCTGCTCAGGTCGCTGATCGAAGTTAGTACCAATATATCGAAGCATCTATAACCCGCAAAACATACCCTGGGGTCCGAGATCAATCCAGGCGTCTGAACCTGGACCACGCGCTGGATGAACTTGGCACAGCACAGCTTAACTGGGCATGGGAATGAGTCCATTCGCCTAAGTATATCCTGCTTAATTGCACTCATTGTCTCCCATGACTTGCCATCCTGTGGGTGATTCACTCTGTCGGTATTGTTAGCCCTGCACCAAGTTTGCGTTTGGAGCGCAATCCTGCATTGCAGGCACAGAAGGTGGATAATGACCTACACATGTCTGAAGACGAGGGAATACAAGCTAGCTGAAGTCTGCACTAAGCTCTGTAGGACTGCTGTGTCTGTTTCTGGCAACTCTAGAATCTCACGGATTGTCTGCAGGACGTTCGGTGCCAGCTGCTCCTTCTGCGCAACAGCTAACATTGGGCTAGCAAAGGTTTCTGCCAGGAAGTTTGCACCCCATCTTCGCAACTCCAGCCGTGTACTAGCTCCGACGATAGGAAGGATGCCGTTGACGATCTGCGGGTAGAAGGCAGCATCACCGAGAACGAGACTGCGGGCAGCGTTGAGCTGGGCGACCTGGTCGACGACATTGTCCATCGGCTGAGCCATGGTAGCTCTAATGGGAATGTATCCGGTACGCGCCGGTCGTGTCGGATTCGAGTTGGGAAACTAGGTGTTGGGGGAAGGGAGGACGTTGGTGTACGGGGGACACGGATACAGTTGGAAAATCAACGCGCATAAGCTTAGGGTTGCGATCGCAGAACAATGAAATAGAGGGAAAGTAACACCGCGGTTGGAGGGGAGAGGTGGTTATGCGATGGGTGGTGAAGGAAGGGCGACTGAGAAGTGACCGTCGAGGATGCGACAAAAAGCTGCGAAAGCCTGAAAGGGCGGCCAACAAAGACTCCGATGTATGAGAGCTGTATCTCTCTACATAAAAACACTCAATTCACTATGTTAAAAGTCTCCCTATGCTTTAATGAGTTAAACTTGTATCGTAGTGTCTCAATTACAATTGAAATTCCCGATCTAATCCCAATACAAACATCTAAACTCGCATCACGTTGTCTAGGGCCTCCGACGCCAAGACTTTTCCTCCGGGTCTGCCTGGTATGGCCTCAACTTTCTTTGTCTCTCACGTTTCAGTTAACAAACACTCTCAACATGGCTACCGGAATGTATGCATAGTCTATATGAACTTGTAAAGGTCTCATTTTGCTAACATCATGCCTCTGTGACAGCTTCAACTCCACTTACTACGGCAAGGACTACCGCGCTGGTGCCGCCCTACTGCGCGCCCGCCGCCCATATCTGTTCAAGAACACCATCACAGGCTTCGGACTGTTCGCATTTACAATTGCAGTCTGTAAGTAAACCCTGTGACGCATACAGCCGTTCCGCTTCAACCCTCTTCCTATCTCCGAACCGCATCATGCCACCAGAACTTGCCCGCTGAGAAGTCTCCATGTGGGCTTAAGATTCACAAGAGACAGAATTACATGCTGATCTTGCTTCAATTTTCAGACACCTACACCCTGAAGGCTGTCGGCCAAGAAGAATTCGCCGACGTCAAGGTCCCCGATGCCCCCGCGGACAAGAAATGAAGCACACTCAACACCCACCGGACCAGTACTTGGTGATGGGTTGACGCTGCAATTGGGGTTTCGGAGTCTTCAGGGAGATCTTGTTTTTTCAGATCTGTAGGATTAGCGATAATATCAGCATATGTGCTGCCATGCACATAAGAAATTGGCTTGGAATATAGGTTGTACAATGAATTTGGGCTATGGATGTCTATCATTCTTTACACCGTCCCGCTGTGCTTTCCATGTGCCCTACCAACTTCAGGAAGATATCCCGGCATTTACTCGCTACTCTAACATCGAATCGCTAATATTACATATTTAAAGTTGACGGGCGGAGTGATACAATAGCCTTCCGAGAAGAAAGGCATTGATATATTTCTAGGTAATTAGACCTAGAGTATATTCGGTATGGTTTGAACGCACAGTACAAATGGTCTGCTATCCCAAAGCGAATCATAACAGCAAACAAGACAAGAAATGCAACATGTATCTAGAAAACAAATCTCTACTCGGTTCGCAGAACACGAGGACCCTTGTGCTTCATGGCACGCTTGCGCTTGAGACCCTTATCAAAGGCAACAGCGCTGCTATGATCACGGCCGAGGTTATCCAAGTCCTTGACCTTGTAGAGACGAACGATCCAGTTCTCGCTGGTGAAAGCCTCTTCCAGTGTGTTAAGCTGAGGGCTTTCCTTGGGTAGTTTTGTGCCACGGACACGGTCCATGGCCTGACCAGCCGGGAAGAGCGACTGGTAGTTGTGATAAGACATCTTGTACCTATTGATAGGGTTAGCAGTGGCATGGATAATCAACACGTTGGGTTCTTACATCAAGCTGTTCTTCATGGCGGGAGTGGCCTCCTCGTCAACACGGTACTCGCCGCGAGCGGTGAAGTAGTCGCGCTCCTTCACCTCGTCTGGCCAGATACCCTCGGCAATACGAACCATCCAGAGGAACTTGTTCAAGTCGTCACCCGAGTAGCCGAGTAGTCCACCAAACACGACCAGGACGTAGTCGACATCATGCTGTCGCAGGATGGGGTAGCTGACCTCCTCGCGCGAACTCATTGCCTTACCAACAGTGGCAATGTGGGTGTTGTTCCAGGTGTTGTTGTCGACCAGAGTGGGACGGTCAGCCATACCACCAATTTGGTATCCATAATCCCACCAAGACATGATCTTGGCATTGTCCGGGGTGTTCTGGCGGAGCCAATAGTAGGCCTCACGGTAGTCATCGATGATGAACTGGCTTCCGTCAGGAAGCTTGCTGGCCAGAACCACAGAGGGGGAGGAGTATGCGTTGGAGGTAACCCAGGTGCAGTGTGCAACAAACAGAAGCAGGTAAAGAGTGACCGAGGATACCACGACAGACTTGGAGAACCAGGAGTAGATACCGACAACAGGGTTCCGAGTTGACCGGAGTGACTTATCATCAGTAGTGGTCTTAGCCTTGGGTTCAGTGCTTGGGGTCGATGCAACCAGGAAGTTATCGAGGATGCATGACAAGGCCAGAGCAGCCGCAACACACACAATGGGGGTCAAGGTCAGCATCAGACGGACCATAACGCCGGCAAAGTAACTAGCAAGGACCGAGTAGATGACCACAAAGACATGCTCATCCTTGAGCTTCTGGAAGCACATGAACACGCCAGCGGGGAACAGCCAGATAAGGAAGTTCAAGTCAAAGAAGAAGGCTGGCCAGGCGGTGGGCTGGTGTTCGGAGACGGAGGCAATAATGGGGATATGAATCTTCGCATATCCAGTATCCCACAGAGAGTAGAAACGACCACTCCAGGGAGCAATGACCCCAGAGACCGACAGCAGGATAAGACCACCAAATCCAAGGCCGAACGTAAGCAAGACCATAGAGGTGAGGAGCTTCTGGAACTGCTTGCCGGGCAGGTAGGCTCGAATGAACTCGGCAAATGCCACCAATTGGATCAATCCAAAGACACCTATCAAATAATTAGAATAAGACAACGGTATGGCTCAGAATCCAAAAAGTCTTACCGAGTGCAGACATGTGGTCACTATTGCGAATAGGCAGGAAACCGACGAAGGGGATCTGCATGCTTCCCAATGTTCCCAGGGCATACCAGGTGGTATAGCTAATATAGACACGGGTGCTGTATCGGCCCATGCACAGAAGAACAAAGACATGGAGAGGGATCAGGTTGGTGATGAAAACGTATCCACCCCAAGCAGAAACCATGTATCCATAGAACAATGCAGTCAAGGCTCCCCACATGATCGAACCGTTCTTCACGGCCTTAATCCAGAGGTAGAATGTGAACACCAATAGGAAAATGGCAATGGCTTCATTATCGTAACTGCCTGCCACAGACCGCGAGATGTAACCGGGTGTAATTCCCATGAAAGCAGCGGCCAGGAGACCCGCGGAGGGAGAATCGGACATCTCAGAGGTCAGGAGATACATCGCCAGGGCTGTTAGTCCAGAGAATCCAGGGGCGAGCATGACACATATGTTTCGAATGTCGACGGGGATGGTAAGGAGACGAAGGATGTGGTAGATCACGCCGCTGGTCACCATCAAGCCAGGGTACAATGTACCACCAGTAACACGACCAAGAGGGTGCCATGTTCCTGTAGTACGAGCATTTCCATCAGCACAATGCCGTTTATACTATCATGTGGAGGATGTGCAATCACGGGGAAGGGGTCTTACTGTCATCAAACCAATCCCAGAAGCTATAAAAGCCATTTTCGACCAAGTATTTTGTCGCACGGAAGTTGAACCACGGATCGACTAGAGTAAGACAGTATCAATATCTTGTTTGTATGTTCGGGGGCAGTCGAGGTGGCCACCGCATCTAGTGCAGTAGCGCAGGGAAATCATACATTCGTGAATGATACTTTCAAATCCTAGAAGATAGTTAGCACACTGGTCATTGAAGATCTCAATTGAGACATACTAATAACACTGAACAAGCGGCTGGACACCGCGGCGGCGGCAATGGTACAAAGAATGATAACCCGCAATAGACCGCGCGTGTTCCGGCCGGAGCTGCCTTTCAGCACAACATCAAGCGAAGACGGGGCCATGATGGCCTTGAAAACGGAGCAAAGTCCAGAGTCAGAAATCAAAATAGAAACATGAAATCAAGGAATGAATTGGGCTGAGATGCCAGTGGTGAGGGCCGTGGGAAGAGATGGGAAGAGCAAGAGCTGCGCAAGGTGGTCACTTCTGAAGGTCTTGGCACCGGCCAGAGGCGCCACCTCCGATTGCTCCCCGCAATACTACGACTCATCAATAATCTTTGCTTGGAGCTCTTTTGACTAACTTTTTCACTCAATATACTTACTCCTGTTGAGTACATCGGTATTCTTACAGCAGAACGAGCCACTTACAGTTTACCTACACCTCACATACCCAAATGGAGCTGCCTCCGCTTACTATGGAGCAGCTCTCACAGCTGGTGGCCTCCAACGCTCCACCGTCACAGCTCTTTGAAGCACTATCGCGATACGAACTTCAAGCATGCCTCATTTCTACTGGGGGTATTAGTTCTAACACAGGGAGTGGTGACTCTACATTATTGAGCCTGTTCTACTCGAGCTTCTTTCTCGTCCATCTTCTTACCGACCAAGTGTTAGTTACTTAGTGAGAGTGCCATTGACGGTTGTCACACTGCTAATGAAGCTTGTGTTCTAGATCTGAAGCTCGTGCCTTGACAAAACGAATTCCTGAAACCCTACTCCAGCATGATTCTTCTCTACAGAACTGCTTGACTTTACTGCGAGCGGTATGGCAGACTCAACACGGCCAGGTCTACCAAGTACTCCGGGGGCTACCATGGCCAGACATTTTGCAGCCACTGATTCGGAGATATGAGAGTATGTTTCTCACGACAATGAGCTTCTTCTTTCGGCAGGATCTTAAATTGACCAATCGTTCTACAATTAGGTTTCTTCCAAGACAAGACCTTGATCGCAGTGAGCAGGTCTTACGAAGCCATACGACTAGCTACAGCGGCTATCTACCTTGGTCTTGACGAACAGCTCGCTAAGCAGGATGATCCGAACATAATATCAAATTTCACGAAATGTGGATGGACATGGGATCCGGAATCAAAGCTGCTGCATCCCAAACCTATCGTCGTATCGCCCGCGGAGCCTCAGTTTTCCAACGGGATTCGCAAGGCAATGGAAATGCTGGGAACACGTGCGGGTTAGATTTTCTTGAAAAACCGAGGAATACAAGTTATTTAATAGATATGATCCTCTGTCCGAGGTCTACGGTTCACACGGCTAAATCCTCTGTCCGGGTTGTGGAAATGTGAGAACCGAGGACCACCAAATCCAAGATTGCTCTTGTACGTACTTGGGCCATTGGTAACGCCGGAATGCATAACACGATCTTTTGCTCTTGCTTGTGGTCCAACTGTAGTGTACAGGCGCACGACAGCCCAGGGTATGTACAGGACCCAGATAAAACGTCTAAAAATGAGAAACAAAAATCATTCCATCTTGCGCTCGCAATGCCACAGCTCGGGGGGCAGATTAAACCCAAACAATCGTACAATAAAATGGAGCGGAATTGAGCAAAACGCGTCTAATACCCTGGGGGAGGTGCGATTCCCGCAAAGAGATCATTGCGTAGCATTCCTCCTCTATACCATCCATCACATTTACTCTCCAGCCTTAGCCTTCAAGAACGCCTCCAGGTCGAACTTGGGATCCTCGAAATTCGTGATAACTATGGAATTTTGGTCAGCACTTGGGTTGTTGAAGATGCGGCGGCTCCGGATGTCGTTGCATTTGTTGAGTTGTATCATCGGGGGGTATCAAACGTACGTCCGCTGGTCTGTGTCTTGGTCTCTTGCTGAGGCTGGGTCTTCTTCTTGTATTCGGCCTTGGCCTGCTCGATCAGGCGCTCCTTGCGAGCATACTCGTGCTCAATCTCTGCGCGCTTGGTCACCGAGTTGAGGGAGGACTGGTGGTAAACACCGTAAACGAGACCGGCAACGAGAGCCGAGTAACGGAGGACCTGTATGGTTGGAGACGTGGTCAACAACTGTCGGGGGAGAGGGTAACCCTTAGCCGGTACTCACATTGACACCCTGGCTAGCCATTTCTGCGAGGTTTGCGGAAGACGGGAATTAAATGAAGGAATTAATTGTGTAAGAAGGAGGGACCGTGCAACAGGTGTCAACCGTCAATGGCAATGAATCTCCAGGTTAGTCAAATGGCGAGGTTCAGTTCATGTTCTGCGCGCGCGAGTTTTTCCGGACCGCTCCAGAGTTCCCGAAGACGGGCTTAGTCATCTCCGTAAATATACGCGCAGTGGAAGTACTACACTTAAACGCGGACGCATCTAGTCTAACCTTTGAAGATTGTACAAGATGTCAATGCAGCAGCGTAAGGATGAGATCCTTGCGAAGCGGGCCAAGCTTGCCGAGCTCAAAAAGCAGCGCGAGCTGCGCCAGAAGGAATTCACCTCCCGAACAAGCGTCGGGGATGCTTCAGAGGTAAACACAGCATGTGAATGAATTACGGAGCTTATCCGAATCTAACGACATTTACCAGATTATATCACCTATTCCAAGCCGCTCAGAGAACAGACACGACCTCGATGATTTGATCTCTCGCTTGGTCGACCGCCCAGCGTCGGCCTCCCTCAGCCACGGCGCCGATAGCCAGTCGCGGAGAGGAAGTCGACCAACATCTGTATTGAGCGCGAGCCAATTAAGCGGGGAGAATGTAGACACATATGCAGCTCCATCGCGACCACAATCCCAGTCCATTGCCGTTCAGACAACAGATGAGCCTTGGAACCCCTCTGCAACGGAAGCTCCGCAGCCCCCTGAACTTGAACCCGAATACAAATCCACACCCAAACCAGAAGTTGTCACCTATAGCAAGGCCGTGCAAACAGATGGATTAGATATCCAGCCCGAAACCCCTGAAGAGTCTGTCGCTTCAGACGATGAAGACTCATCCAGTACTACGCGGTCGAGCAAGCGTCTCAGTCGACGAGACCGGGAGCGAGATGAGGAAATCCGACAAAAGATTCGCAAGGAAATTGAGGACGAGCTCCAAGCCACCAATCAGACCGATAATAATGAGGACACAGCTACGCAATCCGCGAAGCTGCGGTATCCTCTGCGCAAACTCGATGACGACGAGCTGAAGGCAGTTACATCCTCGGACGATTTCCTGGACTTTGTCGAGCGCTCTTCAAAGGTCATCGAGCGGGCTTTGGACGAAGACTACGATGTACTGGCAGACTATGAGTTGGGTGGAACTGATGGGCATCTGCAAGAAGATGAGGAGACTGGCAAGAAAAGAAGAGGAGTGCATGAAGTGTGCCATTTCTGGGACGAGCGATGGAGCAAGAATCGCATTATCAGTGATCTAAGCTTCTCTCCCAAGGTAAGCTTTCTACTTCCAATGAATGTGCCTTGGCTCATGCTAACGTTGACCCGAGTTCCCTGAATTGTTGCTTGCATCATACACCAAGAATACTTCTGCTCCTCATGAACCCGACGGTCTTGTTCAGATCTGGAATCAGCACTTGCAAACTCGTCCGGAATACGTGTTCCACTCGACATCCGATATCCTTACTGCGAAATTCTCTCCTTACCATCCAAATCTTGTTGTTGGAGGCTCCTATTCGGGACAGGTGCTCGTATGGGACACTCGTTCCTCGCGCGCTGGTGGAGGCTCTCCAGTGCAAAAGACCCCCCTATCAGGTGGCGGACACGCCCATCCCGTTTACAGCATCTCGATTGTTGGCACACAGAATGCACACAATATCATGACCGCCTCCACGGACGGTGTGGTCTGCGGTTGGACAATGGATATGCTCTCTTACCCACAAGATCGTGTGGAACTGACTACACCTCCCCCATCTAAGACCGAGGATCTTGCTCCAACAACCATGTCATTCCCTCACACTGATCCTACGTTCTTCATCGTCGGTACTGAAGAGGGAGTCATCTACCCATGTCACCGGTACGATCGGGCTGGAGCCAAGTCTGGCACAGACCACCGCCTAGCTTACAAGGGACATACGGCACCAATCATGTCTACCGCATTCCACCCCGGTCGTGGACCCGTAGACCTTGGCGATCTTATGCTGAGCTCCAGTCTGGACTGGAGCGTGAAACTCTGGCGTGTGCGGCCACCTGCGACGACCGCCTCTGCCACATCTGGCCTGGCCCAATCCCAAGTCGTCTCACCCATTCTCGACATTACCCGAGACGATGTCGTCTACGATGCCCGCTGGCACCCAACTCGACCTGGTGTGTTCTCTCTTGTCGATGGTGCCGGCAGCGTCGAAGTCTGGGACCTCGCTTCAGATACCGAAGTGCCAGTCGCGCGTGAAGTTGTCGACAATACCCATGGCAACATTATGTCCCGAAGCCTTAACAAGGTTGCGTGGGATGAGCGTGAAGGACGCCGCTTGGCAACTGGTGGCCTCAATGGTGTTGTTACGGTCTTTGAAGTTGGCAAGGGTCTCTGTGGGCTGCCGGAGGAAGTACCGGCGGATGAGTGGACGGGTATGAAACGGCTTGTTGGAAAGCTGGAACAGAAAGATAAGGATCGAGTGGCTTAAGGTTACCATCCCAAGGGCTTGTGTCTTTTCCAATGATTGTCGATGTAGTTTTCTTCTGCGGGCCGACCTTCCCCGTCTACCTTTTTCCCTGCGAGGTCTCCCGTCTTGCTTGCCATATACCCCCTTCCCTTCGATCACATAATTTGTGCATGTGTATGTATCTCATCGCCATTGCAATGGAAAGACGTCATTATCTTCCTGGATCCTTGTTCTTTCTATTCTGTTCTCTCCTCATCTCCGACTAGAATAGAGATACTGAGGGCCAATAATTGCGGACCGTGAGGCCAAGTAATCAAACTTTAGAGATAATAATGAGAAAGACGTGAAAACGGGCCTAGACCCTAGAATCAGACACCACCTTAGGCCGTGGGAAAACTTGCTACTAAATATATCTCCCGATCCTACCGAACAACTCTTAATAAACAGCCAAGTCTGCACACTTGAAGCCGGTCAAGCCGACGCAAGAGCCACAATATACCTTGTTATTGACTATCACTATACTATTATACAAATATGATCGCAACTTATTGGGTCAAAGATCTCAACCGACAAGAGTATCCCAACAAGGCAACGGGCGAATGCAGTACATACTAGTTCATGAGCTCCTTACACATCACTGTCTTCAAGAGGAACCAAGTGGCTGTCTATTTCTAGCACGGCACGAGTGAATCTGGGCCAGTATGTGACATTTGTACCGGCGCGCCTGGCTAAAGCCTACAATTACTTAATCTCGTCCAAACCCAACTACCTAACGAGTTGACAAAACGCGTTCATTCGGTGCGTAAGGGCATATCTTTTGATATCGACGTCTGTGGACTATACCACGGTAACTGGAATACTGAACGAGATATATGAACAGAGTCACCCTATGAGCGTGCGTTCATCATCCGTTGAGAGGAGAGATGCCTTGGAAGCCATCGATATCAACACCAAACGGAGAAGAGCCTCACCTAACAAACAGTCCAAATAACTACAACTCGTCACCAGATGCATTTCCCGAGCATACTATAAAGCCCCTTTCATGATAGACGAGCAATTGCAATACATCAACGAAGTAACATAGGAACTATGTACGAAGATACCCCACCGAACCTAGCCTTCATGGACTTTCAAGATTGCCAAGTTGTATCACCCTATGCGACGAAAACTTGTGGGGTGAGGGATTCTATTGAAACTTATCGGACGATTGCAGTCCGAGAGCCTGCTAGGACGACCAGTCTGTAACGCCACCCCAGTCGATCAAAGTATTTGAACAAAACTGGGCCATTCGATACGGTAGACTTTTGGCTAAGTAATGACTGGAACATTCTAGTGAAAACTGGATTAAAATAATGAATTTATCTGCACGAAATATTGATCTCCTAGTTAGTCTGGTGGTGTGTATACATGGAGCTAGCGGCAGAAACCATTAGAGGATCTCACACGTTGCCAGCTATGGTTTTATTTTTGCGTGAGATCCGCATGATCTATGAACCCCTCGGGTCACCGATGGACCACTTTCCACATCATCTTTAGGCCCGTTTTCATTTTGGTTAGGCGTCAGTCGGTAATTTATTTATGCGGCGAAAACTAAAGCTGGGTCTAGACACCACGCAGGGCCGACACGAAAAAGGATTGTATGCAATGCAAGCATTTCCCCGATGATTCCTCCGAGATCTAGAGTTTGGAAATCATTAATCAACTGGCGCAATATCTTGGCGAAGACTATTACTAGTATCCCTTTGTGGGCGGACTCTTATTTCCAGCAAGGGCGGAAAGTGTATATCCAAGGCATCAGGAATAATAGACAAGGATCGACAAGGATCGACATTCACCCCACGCCGAGGGCCCTTCTCAGAGTGGCGCAGCTCAATGAGTGGAGGTTGGGGTACCCCGGCAAAATCATTTCGGATGCTTAAGGTTAGAATCTCATTCCAAGATAAGAAGGTTGACACAGAGCCGTGACAACATCCAACTGGCGGAAAGCCTCAACGTGGCATTGACATTTGCATCCCCACTTAATCCTTCACCCTTACCGGGTCTTATCCTTCGAAGACGGTGAATACCAAGACAATGAGCTAAACTATACACCTAGCTATACCTCTTGTGTGTTACAGTATGTTACAATATGTTGCATCTAACGAACCTACATAGTTACATCTCGATGCGATGAAACTTTCGAGTAGATCGCGGGGATCTGATTCGAGCATCGAAAGGAGTCTTATACTTACAGTAATATCCACATGGCAGCAATTGCAGTATTCAATTACATCCTTGTTCTACGATGATCAGGTGGTGATGTCACACACACAGCAGGGAGAACGGTTAAACATGGTTTCGAGCTGAAACACTGCCCAGTCGGCGGGCTGGCCAATTGGAGGTGAATCAAAGACATCCCTTGGCATGATCACGTCTTGCCGGCCGCTTCATGGAGCGATCGACCTTGGCTAGTTTGAAGATAACAACATCATGGGAAGAAACACAATTTCTCACACCTTGGCATATAGTATTGCTTTTTCGGGTAGAAATATTCAACTACCTTGCTATTGAGCCCAAACAACAGTTTTTATCCCCTTTCCCCCGAAATCTCAACTTCCGGTGGCCATAAAAGTCCCCATTGTATTCGCTACTGTGTACTCATTTCCGAGTTGGGCATAGATTCG